AACATAAACTCATATATGACCCGTCAACCCACTTATTTATACAGGTTCATAGGTTGGCGGGTTCGTGGGTCAGATCTGACTTTGTGGGTTCGTGGGTCAGATTTGGGTTCGTGTGTTCGTGGGTCAGATTCCATAAATAAAATTTATAGTTAAACACGAATAAATTCTTGATGCAAACATATCCAAATTTTAGAAATGTAAGTCTTAAATAACCAAATGAAAATTAAAAACATTCATGGAAACATGTTCAAACTAAAACAATAATACAAACATATATAAATTCAATCGTAGGCGTCGACGTCGTTGATAATGATTCAATCGTTCATGTCGCCGTTCTTTGTGAGTTCGATTTGTCATTCAACATAGAGGGGAGACGAGGAGAGGGCTTATTCGATTTTGTTTGTGAGATACTATTATTATTTAGGGCAAATGCCAAACGTGTTGCAATGCAAATAAGCTAATGTTTACCCAGGGGTCAAATGGTCAATGGTAACTATCCTATCCTATTATAAAGTATAAACTGTATAGTGTATAATACTTAATACATTTAAAAAATATATAATTTTTTTTATTAAAATTCTAAACGGGTTAGCAGGTCAACCCGTATATTTTTTGAGAAACCCATATATGACTTGTTTAATAAACGGGTTGACAGGTTGAAAAACTCAACCCAAACTTGTTTATTTCGTGTCGTGTCATGGGTCGTGTCGAGAATTGTCAGTATTAGAATAGAAGAGGAATAGTATTGTTTAGATTCTATGAGGCGCTAAAGTGTAAATAAACAAACCCGTGTATCTATATATGATTATGTACAATCAGAAGGATCGGCAATTTTGAAGCATAATCTATTATGGTATCAGAGCAGTCCTGATTTCCCGCTCACCACCTTCCTCCAAAGCCTAAACGCCGCAAGAATCTTCTTCCTCCCGTCAGCAGTCCTTCTTTGTCTCTATTCATCTCTCTATCCTTCTTATCTCTACCATGGAGAAGTTACACCCTACTGCAACAGTCACCAACATCAAGAATTTTATTCCAATCATTCTAGAGATGGAAAACGCTTAATATGCGTCATGGGTGGAGCTATTCAAAATTCATTGTCGGGTGTTTCAAGCAATCGATCGCATCCTTCCAAATGAGGCGCCAACTCTGGAAAAGCCAACCTCTGGAACAGATGCCGACAAAGACAAAACAACCACATCTACACACGATGCTTCTTGGTCAAGAGTAGATGCTATAGTACTCCAATGGATTTATGGTACAATTTCTACTGACTTACTTCACACCATACTCAAGTCAGGTTCCACAGCCGCTCAAGCATGGACAACCCTAGCCAATATATTTCAGGACAATGTTAACTCCAAGGCTCTCTTCCTTCAAACCAAACTGACAAATACAAAACTAGCATCCTTTCCAAACGTGAGTGCTTACTGTCAAGAAATTAAAGTATTGGCAGATCAATTAGCCAATGTCAATGCCCCTGTACCTGGTCAAACTCTTATTCTCCATCTCATTGTTGGACTCACAAATGAGTTTGATGGAGTAGCAGCTTTTCTACAACAGCAAGACCCTCTTCCGGATTTCTATACAGCCCGGTCCAAACTTATTATGGAAGAGTCCAGAAAAGCGAATCAGATCAGCCCCAACATATCATTCTTAGCTGCTGCTAGACCCACTACTACCGCCACCGGACAACATCTAACCGCTACTGCTCTTCACACCACTGCTGGATACTCACCGTCACAACAACCTGCTTCCGATTCTCAGCATAACCATCAACATGGCAGAGGATATTCTGAATCAACACCTCGTGGACGTGGCAGAGGCAGTCGAGGTCGCGGATGCGGTCGGGGTCGAAGTGGCAACTTTCATGGTCATCATTTTTATTCGCAGCAGTGGAATTCTAATCCATATCAAAATTGGCAGCAATGGTCTCCTCGACCATGCCCCTATCCGACTGCACCTCCTTCTCGTCCTCTACGCCCTGGTACACCCGGCTCGGGTATTTTTGGTGCTCCTCCTGCTCATGCGTATGCTGCTTCAGAAAGTTATTATACGCCCACCAACATTGCACAAGCCTTGCACACTATGACCTTGAACCCAGATCAAAACTGATATCTCGACACCGGGGCTACAAATCACATGACTCATTCGACAGGTACACTCTCCTCTTATATCAATAATAGCATTCCGAACCATATTGTTGTTGGAAACGGTTTCAAAATACCTATCAACGGGACGGGACACACGACAGTTTCCCCACCTCTTCCACCTTTCAAAATGAACAACGCTCTCGTTGCTCTGCATCTTATTAAAAACCTTTTATCCGTTCGTCGCCTTACAACAGATAATCATATTGCCATTGTATTTGACCCTTTTGGTTTTCTTGTGAAGGACTTACAGACCAAGATTCCTGTCTTCCGATGTGATAGCACCGGAGACTTCTACCTGCTCTCTCTACCAACAACTCGTACCAGTCCTTTCACTTTTGCAGCTCTTTCTCAAGACTTATGGCATCGACGTCTAGGCCATCCTGGCGTTTCTTTATTACGTATTTTGAATAAGCATAAGTCTATCTCTGTTTCTAAATTTTCAGATTCAAAAATATGTCAATCTTGTGTTTTTGGGAAACATATTAAATTGCCATTTAATGACTCCTTGTCTACTACAATGCTCCCATTTGATATTATACATAGTGATTTGTGGACCTCCCCAATTCTTAGCTTGGGTGGTCATAGATATTATATATTGTTTCTTGATGACTACACAAATTTTTTGTGGACATATCCTATTACAAATAAATCATCTGTCTTCGCTATCTTTTCTTCTTTTCACCGTCTCATCAAAACACAATTCAAACATAAAACTAAAACTAAATCAAGCCCAACTAAAGTGTAAATAGAGAAACCGTTGTATCTATATATGGTTATGTACAATGAGAAGGATTGACAATTTTGGAGCATAATCTATTAGTCAGACCTAATGCGCACCACCATAGTTGAGTACGTAAGTAATTGTCAAGTTTGCCAAACCCATAAGGCCCTTGCGACCTCACCAGCGGGGTTATTACAACCGATTCCCTTGCCCCTGCAAACTTGGGATGAAGTCACGATGGACTTCATCAAAGGGCTGCCCAAATCTGGTGGTTAGGATACAATTTGGGTGGTGGTGGACCGCCTAACGAAGTATGCTCATTTTATTCCCCTGAAACATCCTTTCACTGCTGCTAAGTTAGCGGATGAGTTCATCAAAGCAGTCGTTCATCTACATGGCTTCCCCACAGCGATTATCAGTGACAGGGACCACATTTTTATTAGTCAACTATGGCAAGAATTATTTAGGCTGCATGGAGTTAACTTAAAAAGGAGCACTGCGTACCACCCCCAAATGGATGGGCAATCAGAGGTGGTTAATAGGTGTTTTTCTACAGCAGGAGGGCCTGTTTACAGTTTTCTTGTCTTTCCTTTTTAATTCTGTCTTTTAATATTCAGTCCTTTTTGTTTGTGTAATGCTCCACGATATGTTTTCTGTTATGGGGGACATTCTAGTAGGTGCAAGTTTCTTGGTCAGTAGGTTGGTCCCCAGGTCCTGTATTTAAAGTGCTGAGTCCTTGTGAATTGGCATGCTGAAAATTTATGAAAGTTCTCTAAGAACATGGAGAGTACCCACCTCTAGAATTGTTGGCATCTATCTTCTATCTTTTTTCTCTCGATATTCTTACGAAAATCATACAGGTCAAGGCCATCAATAATAAACTGGAAAACATTAGTTACTGGACTACCTTAACAAAATGACTACAACTATTTATACTAATTAAGATAGTATCCTAGTCAAACTTTAAAACAATAAAAGAATACTTAAATAGGTAGCCCCGATTCTGAATTAATCCAACATTCTCCCCCTTAATCCAGAATCCCGCACATCTTCATTTCTAGCAACTTCTTCATCTCGTCTTTTTGAACTCTCTCGATTCTCGACCTTTCCCGGACACCCGACCTCCACTCTGGTCACATATCCAAGGTCTTCTCTCAATCCTTTTTGAATTTTTCACATATCCAAGGACACCCGCTGATCCGTCACCCGCATGATCCGTGAACAAACCGATTAACCCAACAAAGACAATGTCTAATAGAATAAGTGGTTCACCCAAGAAGATGGGTTAAGTGTTAGCGAGGAACTCGAGAGGGAAAAATCAAGTAGAAAGAAGGTTTGAGAAAGAAAAACTATCACTCTCTGAATGAAGTGCTTAAATACCCTTGACAAAAGGGCAGTGCAACCTGACTCGGAAAACTGATGTAGTGTCTCTAGCTTACAGCTTTCCCAGAAAGCGAGTAGCCCCTTTAATTTTCAGTCAACACTATTAAACTGAAAAAAAAAACTTTGAAACGGTAACAAAATATAACTTTTGTTTATAAGATACCATGTGTCTGGGAGAAAGGGCTATTACCAGTCACGTCTGTTTATTTGTCTAATGGTATTTTAAAACAGGATAGATAGTTTGTTACCCTATTATGTCACCCTAATTTCTTACTGTAGATGATTAATTTATTATTAGAAAAATATGTTTGTTTGTGTATGTTTGCTCAAATGGTTTGAGATTAATCAAGATAACCTGGAGGTTATAGGGCCATTTGGAAAATTGTTATTTTTCTAGTTTTGGCAATTTTGTAAATAACCTACAAATAGATGGATGGTAGTAACGAGTTTCAATGTATATAGATCATATGTCAAGCACTAATTCTCCAAATAATCTACATTGAGAATTGACCTTGAAAAATAGTTCATTAAAAGATACAACATTAACTACATTTAAAAAAAAAATCTTCGGGAAACCTCAATTCATGCCGAAAATGGCCATCCATGGCTTTGGTGGATATTTTATTGATATCGGGGACATAAAAACGGGTGCCAAATTACAATACTATACCTCTAGCCCTAATTAATAATAATATGAATAGGTATGTTTACATATAACAAGTCAAAAAGAAAAATTAGATAAGAAACTATTTATGTACAACCTTTTGCAAATTTGCAATGAGGACCACCACCTTCGCGTAAACCCAGTCTTTGAAGCTATCATAAAACTGAAAAAAAGCATATCTCCCTTGACGATTGAGAAGTAAAGCACCACATGTTATCCAAAATCCAGTAACAAAACCAGTTCCCCCACCGATATAAAACCATCTTTCAACTTCATCTACACCTTCCCCATCACCTTCACTTCTACCAATAACGCGTGGCACTTCAGGTTTTTCATCTCCAGGACATTTTTTGTTAAGCGGAGGTCCACATAGTCCGGTGTTCCCATTGTACCTTGAAGGTTCAAAAGACTGGAGCTGAGTGCTAGATGGGATTTTCCCTGACAAGTTATTACATGACACGTCTAGGTAACCCAAAAAAGTCATTTGAGTCATACTTGATGGTATCCCTCCTGACAAATTGTTTCTTGATAAATCCAAAGCCAAGAGTTTTTTCATCAGACCAATTTGTGATGGGATCTCTCCAAGAATATTGTTCTTTGATAAGTTTAGTGCAAACAATTCATAGAGATCGGTAAGTTCATATGGGATTTTTCCTGTTAAATTGTTGCTTGACAGGTCGATGCACTTCAACAATCCAAGATTTCTAATGAACTCACGTTCAGCTCCTTGCCACATGATCATCGCATGGTCAACATATGCAGCATCAAAACTAAATATATCGATAGACCATGATAAATGATGATGTACATTTTCTACTTGTGAGAATCCATCTTGAACCATGCTCGTAAGATTGTTCAAACATGAGGGGATGCTTCCATGGAGATGGTTCATTGACAAGTCTAGAATTTGGAGCTTTTGTAATTGACATAACTGCAAAGGGATGGTTCCAAAGAAGTGGTTTGATCTTAGGATAAGAGCATACAATCCTGACAAGCTTTCCCCAATCCAAACAGGTACGTTCCCGAAAAACTTGTTGGCTCCTAAATCCAAGAAGTTTAACTTGGTGCAATTCTTTAGAGACAACGATAACTCTCCAGAGAAGTCGTTGTTAAATAAATACAACGCCTCAAGTTGAACCAAATATCCTAAAGAGGTGGGAAGCATTCCAGAAAGATAGTTGTTTCCTAGATTAAGAACTTTTAGGTCTTTGAAATGCCACAAACAGTCTGGAAGTTGTCCCGTTAGAAAGTTATCAGAGAGGTCAAGAAATTGTAACAACCCACCGACAATTTGGCATAGAAGGGAAATTTCTCCAGAGAACTTGTTTCTTGAAAGATTTAATGATACTAGAGTGGAAGAAACATTTGGTATCGGACCATAAAATCTGTTGGAACTCAAATCTATCACTGACCGATAGTCAAAATTCGATGATAAATCTGGTACTTGCCCACTGATGTTGTTGGAAGAGAGATTCAAATGTGTTAATTTAGAAGGCCACATGTCCCAAAACCCCAGAGGAATTGTGTCTGAAATTCCATTATTGGAAATATCAAGACGCGTGAGATTTTTAAATGTTTGAATCCATTTGGGGAAGTTGGGCCCTAGCTTGCAAGAGCTTATACCAGCGTACTCTATATGAGAAAGGTTTGACATGTGATCTGTAGAAGCAACTCCCTCAATTGAATTTTTCGAAAGATTTATAATAATTGCCTTCGACTTTCCGATGTTTTCAGAGATAGCACCTCTAAGATAATTGAAAGAGACATCAAGAACTTTAAGTTTGGGTAGTTCCCACAATTTCCCACTTATAGTTCCATTTAAGTGATTATGAGACAGGCTCAAAATATTTAGGGATGAAAACTTTTGGATGTCATCAGACAATGACTCTGTAAATTGGCTATAAGAAGCATCCAATGATTGTAATGCAAGCGATGTGCATCCCGACAAGTTTTTCAGAAAATCAGGAAATTTGACAACAACAGAGTTGTTCATGAAGAAAAAAGTTTTCAAACTACAGAGATTACCAAGATAATTGGGTATCCCATGTAACATGTTCCTAGAGAGATAAAGTTCATGAAGCTTATTGCTGGTTAAGGGAAACAACCAACGATACATGGATGAGGTGAGATTGTTGTTTACAAGACCAAGGACTTCAATAGATGAAGAAGAGTTGAGAAATGAAGAAGAATACGGATACATGACCTGTGAGAGCTCACAACTCAGCAAACTCAAGAAATTTAGTTTCCGTAGACTCAAAATGACATCCACCCAGTGATTTGCTTTAGCCAAAGAAATCCCATTCATGACAAGCTCCTCCAGATAAGATAGGCCAGACAACCACTCTGGGTTTTCAACTCTACATCTTCCAACAAATCCAAGGTAAAGCCATTGCAAGTTGGTGAGGTTTCCAAACTCTGGAGGAATGGTTCCATAAAGAGAGTTATTTGATAGGCTAAGGAACCTTAGTTCAGTCAAGGAACCAATGGATCTGGGAATGGTTCCATGAAAAGAATTGGAGGAAAGATCAAGATGATTCAAGTAGGTTAAGTTAGCCAATGAATGGCTAATCTCACCTTCAAGACTACACAAACCGATATCAAGCCCTGTGACATGACCGGTTTGGTTGTTGCATGTGACTCCAAGCCATTTACAGCAGTTATGTTCGTCATCTTTCCATGTAGAGAGAATACCATTGGGATCTTTAAGGAGGGCTTTGAAATGAAGGAGAGCATGTATCTCCTTATCCAAACACTTGTTTATAACAAGATTATCATCACCTCCTCCAACTACTACCAATTGGTTAGCGATTGTAGTCTCAAGACTTGGCAAGAGAAGTGAGAAAATTATAAAAACACAATGATACATAACGTAAATGCAAATATTGGTGAGTTTTTGGATTGTATTGATGCATATATGAACTGCCCCCAGGAGGGTTTATATAGTGTCTTCTGTGACATGAAGGGTTCTAAGTGGATGGCCTCAAATTGGTGGCCCACTTGTGTGGAGCATACAATACTTCATTTTCATGAAATTGGATATAAAATTGGAATTAGTTGCCCCAAATTAGATGCTCAAAGACTTACAAGTCTTGACGATTTGTATTTTTTATAAATATCTTTTCGCATCGTATAATATTTTGTTGTCCTCAAGTTATGTAATACAAATCCCAAGAAAACAAAAACTGATAGAATCAGATACAGTAACCATACATGAAGATCTGATATGATAAGCATTTAATAACTATGAAACGACTTTTTCTCATTTTGACTATTTATATTGTGAATTTGTTTGAATCAAAGCCATGCTGGTCCATTTAATCCACGGCCTTCTACATTGTTAAAAATAAATATTTTGATAAAAAAAAAACCTTAGACTAGCAGTGACTAAAAAAGAGGGTAAGAAATTTACAAAAGTATTATAATTAAATCTCAAAACAGCAAGGCATGAATTCTTTCAATTTATCATCTACACTAAAAATTTTACATCTTTATTAACTAAAATAACTATCTAGACCCTGCCTAGCTTTGACAGTATTAAATTAATTTTTTTCACATCTTTATTAACTAAAATAACTATCTACACTAAAAATTTTACATCTTTATTAACTAAAATAACTATTTAAACAGCAAGGCATGAATTCTTTCAATTTATCATCTACACTAAAAATAGGCACTAGCACTGAGTATCATGTATTGCTATCTAATTAAAGAGTGGATAAAAAACCTTAAACTAGAAGTGAGTAGTGACTGAGTATCCCGTAAGAAGAAAACTAAACTGATAGTGGTATGACTTCGTCAATGACAGGTGGCTATTTTTAGTGCTCAATATTAACTCAATGACTGGGACAACAATACGACTTTTTCTATATTGTAAGAAATCTTCCTTCTCAATTATTGGTCTTGATGTAACAATCTAAAAGAAACACCAAGAAAAAAACAACAACTAGATTTCACATAATCTGAAGCGATGGGTCCCATAATATACTACAGAAAATAAAAAATATAAAGACAAAAATCAAACTAAGGTTCTGACATAGCATCAATTAACCAATGCAGGCAGATTATTCTTAATGCATTTAGGAAAACGGACTTTAATTGTACAAAAAAGAAATAATAATAATAAAGAGGAGGGTACTGGATCGTGTAGAAAGGGTTTGCTATCAATTATGAATAAGCGGCTTGAATTGGGGATTTTTAATGCTGATTTCTTTTTGCCTTCTAGATCGATCGCCTTCTTCAACCTTTATGGATTCTCCCTGTAAATCGTTAAACTCGAACTCAAGCTCAAAAATTTCCCAAATCGTTCAACACATGGCAAGAACGTATATCTCCCAACTGTTTTAAAACTGGTTATATGTATGATTATATGAACGTTTCTATGTAAGCATCAACTCAATTCTTTAGCAACAGATTTTGGACACAAAGACTTGGTGGGTGGAGAAGGTAATCGGGCAGATAGGAGCATCTGCACAAGGGATCTTGAAATGCTTCACCACTAAATGGCTTATAATGGCTTCTACTCCTACCGGTAGATCGATTCCCCGCTTATAAGATAGAGTTAATGTTTGTTCATTAATTCTTAATTCGAGAAGGCTTTCCCAACAATTTTTGGTTGATGCTTATACGATGATTGAAACTGAGAGACTATATTACATACGCAATCAGCAAAAAGTTCTTAGATGTGAATCGTATGAAACATTACGAAATGTACAAAGTGATGGTGGTACTGATATTTCCAACATCGGAAAACGTGTTATCTTGCCTTTTTCATTTACAGGTGGTGCACGCTACATGATGCAAAACTATTTAGATGCCATGTCGCTTTGTAAGTGGTTTGGATACCCAGATTTTTTCATAACCGTAACATGCAATCCAAAGTGGCCTGAAATTAAAAGGTTTCTTGCTGACACCACACTTAATCCCGAAGATAGGCCCAATATCCTTTCCAGATTATTCAAAATCAAGTTGAATTATTTGATTAAAGACTTAAAGAAAAATGCGTTATTGGGTCGGGTCCAAGCAGGTACCTTATAATACAACAATACTTTTATCATTATGTTTTTTTTTATTATATTATAATATTATATTTATTTTAAGAATTTACAGTTGTTTATACTGTGGAGTTTCAAAAGCGTGGTTTGCCTCATGCACATATATGTTTATTCATGCATTCTGATTACAAACTCCCTACTGTTGAACATATTGATTGAGTTATTTCGGCTGAAATTCCAAACAAAGAAGATGATCCAGAATTGTATGCACTTTTTAGTGAGTTTATGATGCATGGTCCATGTGGTTCTAATAATCCTAAATGCCCATGCATGAGTGACAATAAGTGTTCAAAAAATTTCCCAAAGTCATTCTTAGAAAATACCTCAGTCGATTAAGATGGTTATCCTATATATAGGAGACATAATGATGGATCTTTTGTTGAAAAGTATGGTGTTAGGTTAGACAACAGAAGTGTGGTCCCATATCACAAAGCCCTTTTGAAAAGATATCAGGCTCACATTAATGTTCAATGGTGCAATCAAGCGGCTTCCATCAAATATTTGTTTAAATATATCAACAAGGGTCTTGATCGGGCTACTGTTGCAGTTGTACAAAACAACGGAGATGATAATGATGACGTTTCCGTTGATGAAATACAAAACTACTATGATTGTAGGTATTTGTCTACATGTGAAGCTTCATGGCGTATATTTGCATTTGATGTTCATTATAGATATCCTTCTGTTGTAAGGCTTCCGTTCCATCTTCCTAGAAAACAAAAATGTTGTATATGGAGCAGACGATGATATTGAAGATGTCCTCAACAAACAATCTGTTTCTTCTTCGATGCTCTTATCTTGGATGAGCTGTAATGAACATAATGCTGATGCACGAAAACTTTCTTATGTTGAGTTTCCTACAAAATTTGTATGGAAACAGGAAGATCGTTGTTGGGAGCCAAGAAAACAAGGGTTTTCTATTGGGAGAATTCACACAGTTTCGCCTAATCTAAGTGAAGCATATTTTTTGAGAATTCTTTTAAATAAAGTCAAAGGGCCGAAATCATTTGAATACATTCGTAAGGTTAATGGACAAGTTTGTCCTACTTTTAGAGATGAATGTTATGTGCTTGGACTTTTAGAAGATGATAGAGAATATATTGATGCCATCGAGGAACCAAGTCACTCGGGATCTAGTTATTATTTACGGTTTCTATTTTCAACTATGCTAAAGTCTAATAGTTTGTCTAGACCATATTATGTATGGGAAAATACTTGACAATATTTATCTTATGGAATTCTCTACAATCAACAAATAAGATTAAAGACTCCAGGTATTATTATTTTTTCCATTATTTACATAATTACACTAGACACATTATTTATATATTTTTACATGAATAATTATACAGTTTTTTTTTAATTAACTTTGCTTTTGTACAGGTTTATCACTTAATGACGATCAGGTTAAAAACTTGACGCTATATGAGATTGAAAAAATTCTGCTCCAAAATAGTTCAAGCCTAAGAGATTTTGTTGGGATGCCTTACCCTGATCATGATTTGGTATCTTCTACAAACAATCGTTTAATTACTGAGGAGTTAGATTTTGATATAAGGATTCTACAAAAAAGAATCTCATCAGCTACTTGAATCATTAACAATTGAACAAAGCTCAATTTTTGATGAAATCATGACAACTATTAAACAGAAAAAAGGAGGAGTGTTTTTTGTTTATGACTATGGAGGTACTGGTAAAACTCTCATTTGGAAGACTTTATCTGTATCTTTAAGATCTAAAGGTGATATCGTCCTAAATGTTGCTTCAAGTGGTATTGCTTCGTTGTTGCTAACCGGAGGTAGAACAACACACTCACGCTTTATAATTCCTCTAAATCTTACAAAGGATTCTTTTTGTTCTTTTGGGAAAGATAGTGATGTCGCCGAATTGTTAAAAAAAACATCATTGATTATATGGGACGAGGCACCTATGATTCATATGCATGCATTTGAAGCCTTGGATCGTTCTATGAAAGATATATTCACTTGTGATCTTCGTACCAACTCAAAATTGCCGTTTGGAGGAAAAACAATTGTTTTTGGAGGAGATTTTAGACCAATTCTACCTGTTATTCCTAACGGAAGCAGGCAAGAGATTGGCAATGCTTTTTTATGTTCCTGTTACATTTGGTCAAATTGCAAAGTGTTAACATTGACAAAAAACATGAGGTTAAGTGTTCTCGCATCCAATATTCAAGAAACGACAACTTTTGCAAAATGGATTTTGGATATAGGAGAAGGAAAGGTTGGTGGTTTAAATGATGGAGAGGCAGATATTGATATTCCTGATGATCTTCTCATTGTTGATTCTACTAATCCTATTGGTTCATTAATTGAATCTGTCTATCCTTCTATCGTTGAAAATTGCAAGAATCCGATTTATTTTCAAGAAAGAGCAATCCTAGCACCGAAGAATGAAGTTGTTCAAGAGATAAACGAGCATTTGTTAAAATTATTTCCAGGAGCCCAATAGGAGTATTTAAGTTCAAATAGTCTTTTAACATGTAGATTTTGTTCAAGATAACATTGATGAAACTTTATACTCCCCTGATGTTCTAAATGATCTTAGACCTTCAGGTATGCCAATTCATAAGTTGGTATTAAAAGTTGGTGTTCCGGTTATGTTACTTAGAAATATTGATCAAAAATCCGGATTTTGCAATGGAAAAAGGCTACGGGTTATTACATTGGGAAAACGTGTTATAGAAGCTGAGATAATATCTGGAAGTAATATCGGTAACCGTACGTTTATTCCAAGAATGTCTTTGACGCCTTCGGATAAAAGGATTCCTTTCATATTTCAAAGACGACAATTCCCGCTGGCTGTATTTTTTGCAATGACAATAAATAAAAGTCAAGGACAGTCACTATCGAAGGTGGGGTTGTTCTTGAGACAATTAGTATTCACCATGGGAAGTTGTATGTTGGATTGTCGAGAGTGAAGAGTAAAGATTGATTAAAAATATTAAGTTTAGATAAAGATGGTAAACTTACCAATAAGACATCTAATGTTGTATTCAAAGAAGTCTTTGGAAATTTGTAATTCATAAAAATAAGTCTGAATATTTCATTGTTTGTTTTTATTATTATACATTATCTTACCTACTTATTCATCATTTTGTTTTTATATATTTAGCAATTTTTATTTAATTAATGTTTAATGTTTATAAAATTATTGTCATCATCATTTTATAAATACGTACGTTTTTATTTTATTTATTTATATTTTGAAATAGTTAATTTATTCTTTATATATTTCTGTCTTTATGTTAAATTAATACTAAAAAACATGTAATGTTTAACAAAATATATTATTTTTTTTAAAAAAAAAAAACCGTGTATTACACGGGTCTCACGACTAGTAATAATAATAAAGAGGAGCGTATCAGATCGTGTAGAAGGGGTTTGCTATCAATTATGAATAAGCGGCTTGAATTGGGGATTTTTAATGCTGATTTCTTTTTGCCTTCTAAATCGATCGCCTTCTTCAACCTTTATGGATTCTCCCTGTAAATCGTTAAACTCAAACTCAAGCTCAAAAATTTCCAAATCGTTCAACACATGGCAAGAACGTATATCCCAACTGTTTTAAAATTGGTTATATGTATGATTATATGAACGTTTCTATGTAAGCATCAACTCAATTCTTCAGCAACAGATTTTGGACATAAAGACTTGGTGAGTGGAGAAGGTAATAGAGCAGATAGGAGCATCTGCACAAGGGATCTTGAAATGCTTCACCACTAAATGGCTTATAATGGCTTCCACTCCTTCCAGTAGATCGATTCCCTGCTTATAAGATAGAATAAAGATACAATTTTTTTTTTTTGATTTGGGCAAGTTTTATCTGAAATGATTGTACAGATTCAAGGAAGCTTCATTGAGTAATAAACAGGGGCAATTTGGTATAAATGGATGCATCAAGAAATAGAAATATACTTTAAATCTTGAATAGCAACACACTTTTAAACAATAAGCAAGAAAAGGAAGTTACTTGGATGTATAAAAGTATGTTCTTAGTTCTTGTTTAATGCTTAAAAATGGCTTAAATTTTCTTACAAGTGCAAAAATGTATAGGGGCAGTTTGGTCATAAATGCAGCAGAACCAACAAACAGGGATAGTTTGGTCATAATTATAGCAAAAACCAACAAACAGGGGCAGTTTCCTTATAAATGCAGCAAAACCCACAATTCAACAACAGGGACAAAAGGGTATATTTGTCATTTTGGTTATAACTGCACCAACTGCTATTTTTTTCATGTAAAACTAGTTGCTGCTATCATTTTTTCTTTCATAATTGATTTAGCCTTTTGGTCACATTTTTTTAAACATAAACCAACAAACAGTTGCTGCAAAACACACAATCTCTGTGTCACACTTTTGGTCACGGTTTTTTATCACAGTAATTTGGTCATTATTTTGATGTCCTATAATTATGATAAACCTTAACTAAAAAGTAAAAAGAAAACAACAAATTTGGTCCTCCCCTTTGTTTTTATAACCAGATATAATTACGATGCCATAAAGTAGATACAAAATATTCAATATATATATATATATATATATATATATATATATATATATATATATATATATATATATATATATATATATATATATATATATATATATATATATATATATATATATATATATATATGGAAAAGGGAATATACATTATAGCCCTACAAAATCCTCTAAAATGATGTCGTTTTAAAACTTAAATACCATCCCGTCGCATTTTCTTCCTCTGAATAGTAATAACCATTATTTCATCTGGAACGAGATTACTTCTTCCCAACATCAAGAACACAATCAGCCCTTCCTTCTTTCATATCAAGATTACAACTTTAATCGTGAATCCCCAGCTTAAACCGTTAATCAAGAATTCCCATATCGTCATCTTTACCAATCAAACATCTTCCCTCTTTCTCTTCATTGACTGATAGTTTTAGTTGATTAAAATCAAATCACTCAATTTCTTCATTTCATTTGATGTTCGTTAACCTAATTGCACCACCATGGATGAAGAATACGATGTGATAGTACTCGGCACCGGTCTCAAGGAATGCATCCTCAGTGGTCTCCTCTCCGTCGATGGCCTCAAAGTACGTCTTTCTCCAAATCATTTGTTGTGCGTATATATCTTGGAATGTATGTATGTATGTATATGTGTTCAATTTCTCATACTGAGATGCATTTTGTGATTGAAATAATCAAATCAATTTCATTAATCTCGATCCTGCTATTCGTTGTTTGAAATTTTGATTCCGATTATTTAGATCGTACTTTTTACTGCTGCAAATTGATGCTGTGTTCTGGTGCTCCAGTCCGTGGTATGAATTCATTTTCTGCTCCGATAAATTTTATTCTGTAATTGCTTTCAGCTGCAATTAGTATGTATATCGAGATTCAGCCTATTTTGATTACGTTCCTGTTCATGAACACGCCTTTTCTGGAAGTTCGTCTTAACATAATAACGATGGTAACAAAATTAGACACAACGAAATCTAATGGCAAAACTAAAAGCTCATAATATACGAGCCTACTTGTTCCTCAAGCTCTTCATGTTGAAATTCGTGCTAACCAGTAATTATAATTAGACTCCCATTGGATCCTGTTTTGAGGTGTGACCTAACAAATAGCTAAATGTTGGTCTTGTATGATCATTGCTTGTCTATTTGTACAGGTACTTCACATGGATAGAAATGATTACTATGGAGGCGAATCAACTTCACTTAACCTAAACCAGGTATTATTAATATTATAAGTTTATAACTAAATAATTCATTCAAAACTTTTACTATTGTTTTTATTATTCGTTTGACATTAATAGATTAATATGTATACTCTATAGCTCTGGAAGCGATTCAAGGGTGGTGATTCACCTCCTGCAGAATTAGGCCAAAGCAAGTTTAAAATGTTGATATGGTCCCCAAGGCATGTGTAATTTTTTGAAAAATAATGAATACTTATTATGAGCAACCATCTTAAACTTATGTCAAATTGGTCTTTTTTGCAGTTTATGATGGCTAATGGTGCCTTAGTTCGTGTTCTAATTCACACTAATGTCACAAAATACCTTAATTTCAAGGCTGTTGATGGAAGCTATGTGTACAACAAAGGAAAGGTATATGAAAACCCCTTTAGCCTCTACAAATTGTAAATCATTCTAACTTGTAATCTTTTCAAAACTGGGAATTCTTTTCTTTCAGGTTCACAAAGTTCCAGCAACTGATGTTGAAGCACTTAAATCCCCTCTCATGGGATTATTTGAAAAACGTCATGCTAGAAAGTTCTTCATTTATGTTCAAGACTACGATGATAATGATCCAAAATCAAAAGAAGGGTTGGATCTTAATAAAGTTCCAGCAAAAGATGTTATTTCGTATGATCTTAACCTCACCCTTTTTTTCATTTATTCAATTATCTAACTTCATTGCTACTGTTTTATGATGTTTGACTTATTGTTTTATGTAGGAAAAAATATGGACTAGATGATAATACAGTTGATTTTATTGGACATGCATTGGCACTTTATAGGGATGACTCTTATTTGGATCAACCAGCTATAGATTTTATCAAGAGAGTTAAGGTGAAACTTTTTTTGTTTTTTCACAGAACTAAAAGATAACTTTATTATCTTTCATAATTTAAATTATGTTGTTTTAATGTACTATGAATAAGATTGTTTTTATTTTCTAATTGTCTAATAGTATTTTATATTTCACAAATAGCTATATGCAGAGTCATTAGCTAGGTTTGCAGGAGGTTCTCCATATATCTACCCTCTCTATGGACTAGGAGAATTACCTCAGGTATAATCAATAAAAAATGATTTGTTTATTTAATTATTTAATTTGCTATTTGTATCTATTTAACTTTATCTGATAAATATTTTCAGGCATTTACATTTTGTGAAGGCCTTCCTGCCTGTATTTACTCATGTTTGACACATTGTATATTCTTCATCTGGAGCTAGGTGCACTACTTTACATTTTACACACCAACCTAACACCCATGAGCAAGAGGGACAATAGGGGTAATTTGGGGACTACTGTGAAAGTTGAGGCAGGATCACAAATAGCAACAAGATGGACTACTCTACAAGCCTCTTTGTATACTCATCACTCGTGTTTAGTATATTTAAAACCTCATTGTCATTATTTGTAATTAGTTGAAACAATTCGTTAACTTTATCTATGGTGCTGTCATATTTTTAACATCTTTGTTTCAGTTTGTAATATGTACATTCCCAACCATTAGTTGGGTTTTTGTTATAATAAAATTCTTATTTTGAAATATCAAAACGATTGTTGTTTACTAGAAGTTCTCTACTTTATTTTCAATCTATAATAGCATCGTACTTTCATTTTTAACACATAAAAGCATTGTACTTTCAATTTTTACACATAATACCCCCTTACTTACATTTTTAACATATAATAGCATTGTACTTTCATTTTTACAAATAACAACATCGTACTTTCATTTTTTACACATAATACCCCCGTACTTACATTTTTAACATATAATAGCATCTTACTTTTATTTTTTACACACATCACCCCCGTATTTTCATTTTTTAGACATAGCATTAACCATTCAAATTTTGCATTTCAAAACAGCAACTTAGATGATTTATGTCCAAAACTGGAAAAAAGACAATTAAACTAAACTAGAAAAAAGGAAAATTAACCAAAACTTGAAAAAAAGGACAATTAACTAAAACAAAAATGTCATCAACCATGTGGATTTTTCACTTTCTCACATCAACTACATATTTGATTATTGTTTCTCTTGCAACGATTCATCTACCTGTTACATGAAAATATAAATAGATTATTATATAAATATAAGAACTCTAAAATGATGACATAGTAAGTTAATACTATAAGTACCTTTCTTTTAGAACAACTAGTAGCATAATGACCTAATCCTTGACAGTAAGAGCATGTTCGTTTTTTTGGCCCTTCAACAGAAGACTTGATTCTACTAGCAATTTTAGGACACCCTTTCGTGTTAGTTGGACCAACAGGATCCCGAACAGATATCTGAGGCGTCATATCGAATTGTGAAATTCTCACACAAGAACCTTGAGATACATTCTCAACTGGTATAGGTTTTTTCCGAATTTCTTGTTATTGTAAGAGCTTTATCAATATGTTATTGACGTTTTCTATTTCTGAAGGTGAGTCTTTTGCTTGTTCAATAACTTTGTTAAAATTTGAACGAACACACCATAAAGTGTAAGCACTGACGCCATTTTTGTTATTCATTTCTTCGAGTCCGATGCTATGCTTACCCACCTTGTACCTAGCATTAAGGGTCCATTGAGGTAAAATGTAGTGACTCGGAAGTGTGTCAACATGCCTCTTCTTCATTACATACAAGATATGTTTGCATAAAATCCCACATGTCTCATACTTAGCACAAGAACATGTCACATGCATCTTTTTTAACAAACAAAAGCTAACAATCCGCCAATATTTTTTGTCAACATTCAATTGTCCAACTCGATACTTGATTTCTTCTGTACTTTTGCTTAGAGTCTCATGCGTTAAATTGTTGGTAGCTTCTATCCATTCTTTTTTGAAAATCTCAAAAACCTTTCTAGTATAACACTCACCTGCTATTGCTTCAATTGGATGTATTGAGGAAAGAACCGGCCTCGAGTTCATAGTCTTGAAATCTTCATCTTCTTCGGCAGCCCTTCGTGACACAACTGCTTTATCATATTGTACTAAAAAATCATTCAACATGGTACTCGAGTTAACAAAATCATCAAAAAAAGAATCAATACTCTCACTTCGTCCACTTGTTGTCATACCGGCCAAGAAAATATCCTTTAAGAAAGCTTTAGCCCAATGTATTCGTTGGTTATACATATCAGTTATCCAACAATTATTTTCAAGTTTATACTTATCACGTATAACTTCCCACATAGTTTCAAATTCTTCAATTGTGTCACTCATTACCCATTCTTTATATGATTCTTGAAAATCACTATAACGGGAAATGTATGGTCGAAGGTGCTCCAATTCATGCTTTTTTATATGCCATGCACAAAAGCGATGTCGAGCGTTCGGAAACACTTTTTTTATTGCATTACCCATAGCCTTGTCTTGATCAGTAATAATAGCATTTGGATACTTGCTAAACATACATTTTAGGAAATGCTCAAACAACCATACAAAAGTTTCTTCCTTTTCATTTTCTAACAACGCTCCACAAAATAGTATAGATTGTCCATGATGGTTCACCCCGGTAAATGGAGCAAAAGGCATCTTGAATTTGTTTGTCATATAAGTGACATCAAACACAACAACATCTCCAAATTTAGTAAAATCGTCTCTTGATCTTCCATCAGCCCAAAAAATATTTCTAGGACACCCATCACTACACAAATCCACAACATAATACTGATCATTATCCACCAATGCTTTATCCTGTAAATGTTTAATTAGTCCATAGAACTTTCTTCCTCTATTGTGTTTTCGTTGCTCAGATAATACATCAACGCATTGTTTTGAAGTTACATCAGGTTCATTTAAGGTTTTCATTGCATTAATAGTCTTTTTAATTTGAGAAGGTTTCAACCCTGATTGATTAAGTTGCACCATGAGAGATTTACATTCCATTGTACGATGGAACTTCGCATGAGAACGATGCTTCATCACCTTCGTTGGTGTGATGCTCAATTCGTGATTATGTGTGTCATCAAACAAGTCCACAAACCATTTCCCATCCTTCCTTTTTGAAATTCGGAGCATTGCTTTGCATCCGATTCTAACTTCTCTACGACGTTTTTTTTCATGTCCACTTGAAGTATTACCATCCTCCCGTTTAAAACCTTCTTTGTCGCATACAAGTGTCTTTCGATAAGGTTCATTTGTTCCCTTATTTTTGCATGTAGTATGAATACGTATACCAAATCCATGTACAAATGCATAATCATTATAAAAGGCATACGCATCATCGGTTGTATCGAAAACCTTTCCCAAAATGTTTTCACCATTAACTTCATCTTTATCACTTTCGACATTTGCATCAACGCAATTTATTTTTTCAGATTCATATGTGGCTATTGACAAATCCTCTGCATCAACTTCTTCAGTTATTTGTGTATTTATAGGGTACACATCAGCTTCACTTTCATTCATTATGTACTGCACAAAAGGAAACAATGTATGATTTAGCATTAAAATTATCATGATCAAGATTATACCAATGTTTGATTTGACGGTAGGCAATCAATCAAATTGACAATCTAGAAAAATCCAATAGAGTATAGGGTATCATTGAAATAATCAAGTACAATCAAACAAAAAATAAGGAACAACTTTAATATGGACAACAAATCAAGAAAAATCGATCACCCGAGTAACTCCAACAATTATAATAACAAACCAGATGAGTTCCTGATCTCTACTCAGAATTTTACTGTGATTTTGTGAGCTTGTATGTTTATTTTCTCTTGTTTCCTATAATTATTTGCTTGTCATTCAATACTATCGTTGATTAAGTCAGTTTGAGTTTGAATTGAGGATAATCACATAATGGAATTCAACACTTACATAATCAAACTTGCTCACAAACCACAACAAAATCAAAAACAGAAAATCGAGTTGATGATCACAAAATGAAGATAAATAACTTCCTTAATTAAGCATGTATTTTGATTACCATGGTAAAAGATAATTTAACTAAACTCTAAAAAGTAATCTCTCAATAACTCAGTGATAGTAGCCAATCTTAATTGGAACCAAATGATGAATAGAAAGTCATTGAATACCTGTAATGTTTTTTCAAGGAGAAGACAACTTCTAAGAAACCAATCTTAATTGGAACTAATAGAAATCCTATCAAATTAAAAAAAAAAAATTGAAATTACAAGCTAATTATTTGATAACACAAATCAATCACACATATGCAAAAAAAATGTTTATATGAACTCCCAATATCTTAAAACTGAAAAAGCAAGTTAATATTTTTTTATAATGACATGAAAATAATTAAGTGTAATCTCTTAATTTTGATGGTTTGTTAGTTGGACCTAAATGAGCATAATTTTATTTCATCGTTGATTAACCTGACGACACAAGTGCCAATTTGCTTCTTAATTACATAAAGTATACGTCAAATTATCAATAGATCAAATTGTGAACTATAATGATCTTTGGAAGTCGAAACCAATTATTAAAAAGGAGTTCATAATTGAATGCGTGCATATGACTTTGGTTTCATAAACAAATTACACTAAATAAGTGAGGAAGATGAGTACCTTGCGATTAAGAAAAAAAAGCGATGAAGGAAAAAAATGATTATGAGATTGCGATTATAACAGAATTAGGGAAGATCTTTTAGTTCAATTGAGAAGCTCGTGAATTTCGCTCCAAAACATGGTATTGGTATTTACGTTTTAAAACGACGTCATTTTAGAGGGTTTTGTACCTAAGCTTAGGTAGGGCTATAATGTATATTCCCTATCCCCATATATATATATATATATATATATATATATATATATATATATATATATATATATATATATATATATATATATTAAACATAAACACTAATTTAAAATACATATCCTAAATTAAGGTGACATGATTTTTCAAGACTCCCCCCACTTGTTCCTAAATCCATTGAGAACAACATTCTTGATGTGAAAGCCAAAGTCAAGTTGTTGAAGGTTTAAGCACTGCAAAAGCCAAAGTCCAAGATTAGCAAGTCCCATAATCACATAAAAGAACAAAGACAATATATAAACTACAAATGCAAAATTTTATAACTTAAAATATGCAAAATTTTATAACTTAACATATCAAAATTTTTATAATTTAACATTTGCAAAATGACATATATATACAAAATAACATATCCAACACAAGTTTTAGTTTGATTACAAGTTGAAGTCATTTCAATAAAAAGCAAGGCACACCGTGTGGCTCTTTACAGTAATTCACTTTCAAAACCTTTATACCGTCTGTTAAGAATCATACTATTTTTACTCATTTTATAGCAATGCACTTTCAAGACGTTTATCCCTACTCTTAAGAATCATAATATTTATACTAATTTTACAACAATGTACTTTCAAGACATCACAAGTCATATGTATATGGGGGAAATTTGTAGAAATCGAAATAAAAATATAACTTAATATCTTAACCTATGCTATTAATAGCGCGCTATAGCGTTTTGCGGTGTCACTGAACCGCTATTTTGAAATAGCGTTTACGAATAGCGTTGGTGCTATTAGCGGCACTATTGACCGCTATTTACCGCGAATCTCATCAGCGCTATAGCGACGTTAAACCCGCTTTTACAATTTCATACATATTGAGCTATTTTGATAAAGAAAAAAACGATTGTGTGTTATTTTAGTATTAAATCTTTATTTTTTTAACTAGTCCACTAAACTTTTTGTCTTAATAAGTCCAAATAATAAATATAATTAATTACAAACTACAAAGCAACAAATGACAACTTCTCTTTCTCATCTGTTTCAGTACATAGAAACCACGAACGACTTGAGCTGCGATGACATTTTACTTTTTAGTATTTATATTACTATATTAAAATATTATATATAGATTATGTTATGTTTTTATATGATTTTTTATGATATTAATGCTATATAGTATTAATAATCTAATATATAAATTTTGTATAAATATATAATATAAATTATACATAATATTATAAAAACGCTATACCACTGCTATACCACCGCGATAACCGCAATTTCAAATAGCAGCATGTGACCGCTATTGAAATCTCGACCGCGATAACTGCTTAGATCTTAACAACACCAATATGCATAAATCGATTTCAGGAAGAGACATCACATAGTCTCGACTTCGTATGAAAACATGTAATTTGTAATGTGTAAAAATAAGGAAAATATGTACACAATCCTTCACAATGTGTAGAAATCAATTTTAAGAACAAACAAAAACTTCCATGAAGAAGAACATAACCGACTGTAGAATGGAATCGATTTCGCAAAATGTTGAGGATGGTTGATTCCATCGATTTCACAAAATGATGTACAAGGCGCTAATTTCACCTCGAGTCCCTTAATCCATGTAAAGTTCCATGTCATTTTTATTTTCTTTTAATTATTTTTAACAGGTAAAATCTGAGCGGTTAACCTACACATGCCGGTTACCACAAGGTGAGATTTGAACAAAAGATATATTTTGTTGGTGTTTTTTTTATACAAAGCCCTAATTTGATGGTGTTTTTTAAACAGACAAAACTTGGATGGTGTTTTTGAACTTTTTTTAAACATTCTTACCCTTATAAGTCATTTTCCCTTTGAGAAAATAGTTACAAATTCCTCATATTTATTCAACAAAACAACAAAAAACTCAATAGTCGTGAATTTTTTTTAACAAAACTACAAAATTGGTCCTATGGTTTTACAAAAATTGTGTACAAAGTCTAAAAAATTTGGGATATATACACTAAAATCCTAATATTTTCAAAGATTTGACAAGAAAGTCTTAAACTTTATTTTTTTGACAGTAAAGTCCTAACTACCGACAGTTTTTGACACACTTACCCTTTTTTGCTGGTTAGCCGATAATTAGGGATTTATTGTAAAAAAATAAACTTTAGGACTCTCGTCAAATCGTGAACTAAGACTTTACTGTAAAAAAATGTTTAAGACTTTCTTTTCATCGTTAAATATATTTGGACTTTAGTGTATTGTCTTGGTTTTCTTAGAAACAAATAATTTTATTAGCATCATGAGACCCAATTTCTATCCCAAGAACTTTTAATTGTGATTTTTGTAGCAACACCACTGTTTTTCTTACCATCATCATCTTTACCATGCTACAATCATGAATCACGATTAGGGGAAACAGATGCAAGAGAGAGAGAGAGAGAGAGAAAAGATTTGTGAAGATTTCTTCTTGGTTCGCTGCCAAATCTTGAACTGAAAAGAGGGGACAGATTGAACCAATACAAACAACATACGCCTAACGAAAAGGGTGTGAATGTGGAGAAACGGTAATAAATACAGTTTCGTCTTTCCGGTTTCTTAGTTCTCAATTTTTAGGATTGCAAAAAGTCAACACAACCCTGATTCTTTCTTTTCTTTCTTTCTTGATTTTCTTCATTTTTTTTCAATATCAGTTTGTTGAGATTAAAAAAACTATTTAACAATAAACAAATGTTAAAGATTTCAATAGGATCTAGCTGGCCAAAGTAGATTGGTTAGATTCCAATAACTCTTTCGCTTAAAGACTATCATACTATTAAATTTCTAACAAAAAAAGAGATATATACACTAAAGTCTCATTATTTTCAACGATTTAACAAGAAAGTTCTAAACTTTATTTTATTGAAAACAAAGCCTTAATTACTAGCTAATCGGCAAAAAAGATAAACATGTCAAAAACTATCGGTAGTGAGGACTTTACTGTAAAATAAAATAAAATTTAGGACTTTATTATCAAATCGTTGAGAATATTAGGACTTTAGTGTATATATCCAAAAAAAAATCAAATTGAATGAAAGGTCCAAACCAAGAATTTTTTGTGGTTTTGATCCTCAAACACTTGAAATGTCAAATTTGCCCTTTTCATTTCTTTTTTACTTTTTCTTTATTTATTTTAGTATATAAATCATTAAAAATATTAGGACTTTAGTGTATATACCTCACCCCACCCTTTCCAATGATTACTCTCTCTCTCTCTCTCTCTCTCTCTCTCTCTCTCTCTCTTCTCTCTCTTCAAGAAACCTACAAATGCAAACTATCCTAATAGATTTGACTAATTACTGCTTTGGTCAAAAATCAACAAAATTGTATGAGAGGCTGTGGTGTTGTGATCAAAACGAATATGATATGAAGTATAAATGACATAATCGAGTTTACAAGGAATGCCCTTGATCATTGCTAGGATCTTCGACATAAAACCTTTGGAGGTGCTAATGATCACCTGGATTGTTATGTTTATTAATTTCAAAGTAGGTTTACAGTGATAACAAAGATAATACGAGTACAAGTGAAATAGTAGAGTTTTTCATGTGTGTAGTGTGCAATTTACATGTGTTATTTATAGTCTAAGATAAGTAACAAGAAGTCTAATATTTCCAGGATCCTCCTTGAACAAGTATTTGCATGTTGTTTGACTTGGTATTCATGGGTCTTAAGCTTGGTTGAAGTGGTTCTCTGTTGAGAATGGGTTTTATGTTGACTAATTCTGCACAAGTGAGAAAAAAATGAAGAATATTGTAGCACCCATATAAACCATGATAAATTTAAACTTTTATAAACCAAACAAAATCACAAATTATTTACAATCATAGTTTTCAAAATATGTACAACATCTGAGTCTCCCAAAATCATAAGGAAAAAACATGAGGATGTGTACGGTTATGTTTTCTCATTCCCGCAATCATCTGAAGTACCTGAAACATAACCCAAAACTGTAGGCCAACGCTTAGTGAGATCCCCCAAAGTACCACCACATACACATAATAACAAACAACAACATGCATAAATGAGCCTTCAGCCTGACTGGACCGCCTTGCAGGGCCTTCATCCTATCTGGACCGCTCCCGATCCTTCGGCATGACTGGATCACATTGCAGGGCCTATAGCCTATCCGGACCGCTCGTTGGGCCTTCAGCCTGACTGGACCGCCTCCCAGGCCCTACAGTCTATCCGGACCGCCCCAGGTATCTTAGCCTTCAGCATAAAGTTGAACCGCCTCAACCCAACCACACATAACATGTCGATATATACATAACATATAAACATATAGCCAGTCAATAGACAAACATGCAGATCTACAGATCATTACCGCATGCTAACATCCTATATAGGGATGAGCATCGGAACCGGGTACCTGCTTTCGGAACCGGAACCGCCTTGGAACTGCCGGTTCCGAAACTGGAACCGCCTTAAGCGGTTCCGGTTCCGGTTCCTAAAGTTACGGAACCGCCTTAAGTGGTTCCGGTTCCGGTTCTCATTTTTAAGGAACCGCTACCCGCTGGGTACCCACCGGAACCGGTATATATATATATATATATATATATATATATATATATATATATATATATATATATTGGTATCTAGTATGAATATATGTGTGCGCTATTTTGACCGATTTAGAAAATATTGATCCGATTTTGTCCGTTTTTGTTCCGAATTTATTCGATTCCGACCGAAATAAATTATAGTTTTATTGAAATTTTTTAATAAAGTTGATGTAACCGGGTTACCCGCTCCCGGAACCGGAACCGCCGGTTCCGGGACTGGTTCCAAAAATTGAAGAACTGCCTAGACCGGTTCCGGTTCCGGTTCTAACTTTCTAGGAATCGCCGGTTCCGGTTCCGGTTCCGGTTCTCGCCAAATGAGGCGGGTACCCGCCTACGCTCATCCCTAATCCTATATATCAGGATATAGATCTAACATATTACTACAACATAACAACATATGGTAAACCAGGATATCAATCCAAAGGGCCGACCTTGGTACATTCGACCCATAAGTATAGTGAGGAAAACTCACCTCGCAAATTGAATAGAAGAGCTGATGAGGTCTCAACTCCGAATCTCAGCTCCAACCGCCTTCTATTCTAACCAAATAACCAATCTCAATTAGAATTTCCAAAATACCCAAAATACTCTTAAGGTCAAACTTGGTAAAAGTCAAAGTCAACTGGTCAAACCAACTGAGTCAACCTAGCCGAGCCAACCCAACTGAGTCAGCTTAGGATGCGTATGCGGGGCGTACTCCGGAGGTATGCTAGACGTACACGAAGCCTCTCAGGTTGACCACTATTAGGGTGGTTGACCTCGTATGTAGGGCGTACTCCGAGTACGCAGGGCGTACTGTTACAGGTCCAAAAATTCCATTAAGAGCTTAATGGCCTGGGCACTTACGTATATTATTCAAATCCAAGGCTAAAATACACTCTAGAGTCATAAAGTTTCCAACTTTATGACTTTACATGCCCATTAAGTTCTTATCTCAAATTCTTAATCCATTAAGACATTCTACAAGATGCATGGAACAAAACCAACCACTTGAAGCCCATTTATATGACTCAAGACCCTCCGAAGGGTCTGAAAGGACAACTTAATGGGTCAAGAACATGATTTGTTCATGAAACACCACATTTAGGACAAAAAGAACCCAAAACTAACCCAAAACAATATCTACAAGAAACTACACCAAGTTCAGAACTTGATACCTCAAAATGGTGACAAAAGGTGGTGTGATCCTAGATTTAGAAAGCTTCACTCCTTCAAGGTGGTCTTCTCTTCCTTCCTTCTTCTTCAAAAGAAACAAAACACACACGCAAGTTTAGAAATGGCTCCTCAAGAGGAGATTAGGGTTACAAACATGAATGAGAAAGTGGATGCAGATAAGGTGAAGGAAATGACGCTATAAGACTGCTTAAATACCAGACAAACCCTAAAAACTAGGGTTTCCTCATCTGGTAAGTACGCCCAACATATACTGATGTACGCCCAACGTACTAGGGCGCGCCCTAGTACGCTCAGTTTACACCACGTACGCATGGCGTACTCCAAAGGCCTAAACATACAACAATGCCATTAAGGCCCTTTTTGCATACATATCTTGAACTTAGGACTAAAATGCAACATAATAGAATCAAATGGTTAAATTTAGAAGTACCTCACGTCGGGATGTTATAGTTCTCCCCCACTTGGTCTAGACTTCGCTCTCGAAGTTTGTCGTGACGAATAACTCAGAATAATGCTCTCGCATCTTCGCCTCTGACTCCCAAGTCTACTCGGAGCCTCTCCGATGTTGTCACTATACCTTTACTAAAGGTATCTCCTTGTTGCGCAAGACCTTCATCTTTCTCTCCAAAATAGCTACCGGCCTCTTAGCATAGTTCAGATGCTAATCAACTTGAATATTGTCTAAGGAGACCACTGCCTCATCATCCAATATGCACTTTCGCAACTGCGAAACACGGAAAGTGCTGTGAATTTGACTAAGCTGCTCAGGTAGATCAAAGATGTAAGTCAACTTACCAACATTGGCAATCACTTGAAAATGCCCAATATACTGAGGGCCCAACTTCCCCCTCTTCCTGAAGTGTATCACACTAGGACAACCCTGGCAATCACGAAAAGGATCAAATCCAAATCATGCATGGGATATCGCAACTCATGCGACTTCAGCTACCGTGAAGCATAAACAATCACTCGTCCTCTTTGCATGAGGACCATTCCTAAACCGGTGATGGATGCATCACAAAATACGATAAAATCCTCGACTCCTTCCAGGAGGGTCAATACGAAGGCCTAACATAACCTCTGTCGAAGAGTCTCAAATGTTGACTGCTGCTCAGGGCTCCATCAGAAATCCACCCCCTTCCTCGTCAAACAAGTGAGGGATGCCAGAATCTTGGAGAAGTGATGAATGAATCTCCAATAGTACCCTGCCAAACCCAAGAAAATCTTGATTTCTGAGGGAGATTTCAGAACCTCCCACTGCATCACAGCCTCGATCTTGGCCAGATCGACCAAAATCTCATCCTCGTTAACCAGGTGTCCCAGAAACTGGCATAAAGCCGTTCCTACCTCAAAACCCCCAGAAGCTCCCGAAGGTACTCCTCATGCTGCTCTCTAGTCTTGGAATACACCAAGATACCATCAATGAACACAATAACATATCGGTTGAGCATCAGCGTGCATACCCGATTCATTAGATCCATAAATACATAAGGCACATTGGTGAGCCCAAATGGCATCACCACAAACTCGTAATGCCCATAACAAGTTTGGAACGCGGTCTTTTCTATGTCCTCCTCTCTCACTCTCACCTGATGATACCCAGACCTCAGATCTATCTTGGAGAACCAAGATGCACCCTACAACTGATCAAATAGGTCATAAATCAGTGGAAGGGGATAACGGTTCTTCACCGTTAACTTTTTCAACTCCCGGTAATCAATACACATTCGATATGAACTATCCATGGTAATAGGAACAACAGAAGATGATACCAACTTGAAATACATTGATTTTGGAACTCCCAGAACCAACTCCCAAACCAAAGAGCTTCTAGCAAAAAGCTTGTCTTGCAACATTGGCAGGAAAATTAGTAACACCGATAGAACAATGAACGCATTGAAGATGAGATACCTCTCCCAAACCCTTAAGAGAAACAACCAATGTAGTAAGTCTAGTCACGATGTCACATGTATCAGCTAGGATAGGGTCAGAGTGAATGGGACGCTCATGTAATCTGATAGCCTCGCTCACTTTTGAACTAATCATAGGAGGCTGGGAGTTTCGTGCATGATATCATCCACAATCTTTTCCCTTTAAAGAACGTTGATTCCGTCGACGCTTGAGAGGGGAGATGTTTCTGTATGTTCAATTATCTCTTCCAACGACAGAGTCTTCTCAGCCTCAGCGTCCCCTGGTCCTGCTCCTATACTGATAGAAGAAACTGCTTCTTTCCTCTTGTGGGGCATGTGCGTTTTTGTAGTTTATCCCGAGGAAAATGTAGGAGGTTTACTACCCAATTGTTCAAGATTCGAGGAAACATGAATAAGGGAACCTTTGGCCTTAGTGTTAAGAGGGCAATCAATGCTAGATTCAAGTTCGGGGTGAACGTCTCCCTTGCTGTTAAGAGGGGAGTCAAGTTCTTCCATTACTTGATAGAAGAAGGAAACCCATCACAGATAACAATCTTGTCCTTACAAAGAGAGAATAACATCCGGTCATTACTGACGTGAAAATGACGAATAAGAGCAAGCTAGGAATAATGTTCAAAGCTTTGCAAAGCATCACGAAGAAAATGATATTTTGAAAACCGTTAGGGGTAAGTTGGGCAATATGTTGATTGTAGTGATCAAGGACCACCTTCAAGAAATTGAAGGCGAGTATCTGGAGACCGTCCCGAGAGAACTGATGATGTACCCCCCACGTACCGTAAGGGAGGGTTAGTAATCTTCTGCGACGAAGAAGGGAGTTGTGGCTTAAAGTGATGATCAATCTTATAAAGTTTGACGATGCTATTTAATTATTTCACTGAAAGATAGCATTGATTGAACACCTTGGTTATCCTTGACCACAGTTGAATTTTCAGAGTAATCGGAAGGAAGAAGAAAAGAAAAAAAAAAGAGCAAAAGAAGCGAAGGGGAAAACCGTAGAGTGAGCAGTTTAAATTTGTGGGTTACCTTTAAATAGAGAGAATTTGGTGAATATATTTGAAGCGGTAATGATGAAACGTAGGCTTGCAGAACTGTCTCTTCACCATTTATGGTAAATTTAGACTTATCCGTTAAAGAGAGTTGGTCGGCGGTAGCAGTTCTAATTCGAGCCATTATTACTAATAATCCAAACTAGGGGGACTTAATGATATATATATATATATATATATATATATATATATATATATATATATATATATATATATATATATATATATATATATATATCAATTCCTAGGAGAGGTCGAACTTGTTCACGAGGAACGATATATTGACGTGATAACGATCGAGCCGAATCTAACATTGGGAAGCATCATCGTGAGATTCCAGTAAGACGAGATTAAGACGAATATATCGCGCAAACTCAAAGTAGTATCATCAATCTTTTCTAACTTAACAATAAACACATACATAAACTCTAATTAATAACCTTCAAGTTTTATTAGTATTTTATATGTATATTTGTTGATCTATGCAGGAATAGAATCGAGTAAACATCATCTCTGACATCAACTCTAATCAATTGATGCGATCATATCATCTTCTCTGTCACCATGGTTAATTTGGCGTAATGTAAGCAAGAGTGACAAACCTCAAAATTGTTTATGATGGTTTTAAGACTTTGAATTTGTCTAAAAAAGTCCACGCGTTAGATGCTCATGTGTATAAAGTTTAAACATGATGTAGATGATATTTAAACATAAATCCATGTAAGGGTATAACAGTTAACTGATAAAATAAGAATTTAAAATAATTATCAAATATTAAACAATAAGATTTTGGGCAAATTTGTTATTTTTGAAAGTTTATAAAGTATAAATAAAAAGGCATATACAATATTCTAAAAAAAACAAAAAACAAAAATAAACACATGTTTGATGACTATTGGGCTTTATATCCCCTATCAAATTAGGCCCTCAATTGTGTTTTTGAGCAAACAATGGGTTTGTACGCATGTAAATTTATAGAACTGACGACACTCACTGTACGGCGTCTCGTCGTGGTTTGAGAATCGGAAACGACACAAAACGAACGATGGATTCCGACTGCAGAGAGGCCGGTGAAGGTGAGATTAATTCAAGCCGGCTATTCATAATAGTACCCGGTACCTTCTTTCTCAATTTTTATTTATTTATTTTTTAAATTAGAGGCCTCTTTCCGCTAAATCATGAAGAATAATCTGTGTACATTGTTAATTGATCTTAATTGATGCTATGCGAGACTCGCATAAGCGTCTCCTATAATATCCAGTTAGCTATAAATTCATGGATCTAAACTAGTTGTTGGTTTCTCTTGATGGTTCTCTTAGATTATAAGATCAATCTGTCTAGAGCATTTCTTACAGTATAAAAAAAAGACGTCTCACTCACCCTTTACTCCTTTAGGGCCACCATTGACAATTACAAGTCTTGTCCCTCTTTTACATTATTGAGTCAATAGTGCATTGGTTTTTACATAATACATTCTTCAGTTGCCATGTGATTTCTATATTCTCAAATGATAATATTATAATTAAATATTTTTTGTAAGAACTATCTAAATGTGAAACTAAAAAAAATCTGTTTACATTAAAGTGCATAAACTATAATATACATCAAGTTTGTATCTTCCACGATGGTTACTTTCATGAGTTTGATTTCGTTATAATGAAAATGACTTAAACAGGGATGAAAGATTGGTGATGGTTGCAAATTCTTTTCTTAGAAATATATCACATAATTTGATGACCAAAATATATCACAAGATTGGAAAAGGTATTTATATTAAATACAAATTGCCATGACTTGTAAGTCTTTGAAATATCTACTTTGGGCCAATTTAAATTTCATGGAAGTTAAGTATTCGATGCCCCACACTAACAGGTCACCAATTTGAGACCATCCACTTTAATAATTCATCTTCACAATAGTTGGCACTATATAAATTTTCATAGGGGCATCCTTCATATATACATAAACACAAACAAAAATCACCAACATTTGCATTTTCATGATGCATCCTTGTGTTTTTATAATTTTCTCACTTGTCTTGCTATGCCTTCAGAATACAACTGCCAACCAATTGGTAGCAGTGGAAGAAAGTGACGATAATGGTGTTATCAGAAACAAGTGTTTGGAAAAGGAGAGAGATGCTCTCCTTCAATTCAAAGCAAACCTTCATGACCCTGATGGTCGTCTCTCTACATGGGGAACCGAAGAAGATGACTGCTGTAACTGGATTGGAGTCAGGTGCCACAGCCAAACAGGTCATCATGTCACGGAGCTTGATATCAGCCACTATAATATTGGAGGTGAGATTAGCCATTCATTGGTTAACTTAACCTACTTGAATCTTCTTGATCTTTCCTCCAACTCTTTTCATGGAACCATTCCAAGGTCCATTGGTTCTTTGACCGAATTAAGGTACCTTGACCTTTCTAATAACTCTCTTTATGGAATCATTCCTTCAGAGTTTGGAAACCTCACCAAGTTGCACATGCTTTATCTTCGAGATCTTGGAAGTTGTAGACTTGAAAATGTAGGGTGGCTAGTTCATCTCTCTCATCTACAACAACTTGAAATGGATGGGATATCCCTAGCCAAAGAAAATCATTGGGTAGATGTTATTCTGAGTCTCCAAAAACTAACACATTTAAGTTTATTGGGATGTGAGCTCTCACACGTCATGTATCCATATTCTTCATTTCTCAACTCTTCTTCATCTATATCTTTCCTTTATCTTGGAAACAACAATCTTACATCATCAGTGTTTCATTGGTTGTCCCCATTGACCAGCGATAAGCTTCGTCATCTTGATCTCTCTAGCAACATGTTAGATGGGATACCCAAATATCTTGGTAACCTCTGTAGTTTGGAACATTTTGAATTTCATAACAATTCTGCTGTTGTCAGTTTTCCTGATTTTCTCAACAACTTGTCTGGATGCACATTGTGTACATTAGCAGAGTTGGAAGCTTCTCATAGCCATTTTACAGGGCCACTGTCAGATACGATTGAAAAATTTTCTTCCCTAGAAAGATTGTCCCTATCCAATAATCAACTAAATGGCACTATAAATGAGAAATTGTTTGAACTTCCCAACCTTCTTGATATAGATCTTTCACAAAACTCATTCGAAGGAGGTCCTTTTCTATATCACATGTCAAACCTTTCTTATGTAGAGTATCTTAATGTGAGCTCTGCCAAACTAGGGCCTTGCTTCCCCAAATGGATTCAAACACTCAAAAATCTTACCCGTCTGGATATTGCCAACACTAGAATTTCAGACACAATTCCTCTGGGGTTTTGGGACATGTGGCCCTCTCAATTACAATATTTGAATCTCTCTTCGAACAATATCAGCGGGAAAATACCAGATTTATCGTCAAATTTTGACTACAATTCAGTGATAGATTTGAGATCTAACAACTTTTCCGGTCTGATACCGAATGTTTCTTCCACTGTGCAATCGCTAAATCTTTCCAAAAACAAATTCTATGGAGGAATCTTTTTTTTATGCCAAATTGAAGATGGCTATTTAAGATTTCTTGACCTCTCCGATAACTTTCTAACCGGACAGCTTCCAGACTGCTTGTGGCATTTCAAAAAACTAAAAGTTCTTAATCTAGGAAACAACAATCTATCTGGAAGGCTTCCTCCAGCTGTTGGATGTTTGATCAAACTGGAGGCATTGTATTTATACAATAACAACTTTTCTGGAGAATTGCCTCTGTCTTTAAGGAATTGCACGAGTTTAACCTCGTTGAATTTGGGGGCCAATAAGTTTTCTGGTAATGTGCCTGTTTGGATTGGGGAAAACTTAACAAGGTTGTATGTGCTTATCCTAAGCTCAAACAACTTCTTTGGAACCATCCCATTACAATTATGTCAACTACCGAATCTTCATATTCTAGACTTGTCAAGGAACCATCTCCATGGAACCATCCCCTCGTGTTTGAATAATCTTACGAGCATGGTTCAAGGAGGATTCTCAGCTACACAAATCGGACATTTTTTCTATTCAATTTCACATTTTTGGCATGGTTCAACAAGTTATTTTGACCATGCAGTGATTGAGTGGCAAGGAGCTGAACGTGAATTCATCAGATTTAATCTGGGATTGTTGACCTGTCAAGCAACAACTTGACAGGAACAATCCCTCTTGAACTGACCAGTCTTGTTGAACTGGTTGCACTGAACTTATCAAAGAATACTCTACTTGGAGAGATTCCATGGAAAATTGGTCAGATGGGAAACCTTTCAGTTTTGGATTTATCTAGAAACAATTTGTCAGGAGGGATGCCATCAAGCATGTCTCAAATGAATTTTTTGGGTTACCTGGATGTGTCATATAATAACTTGTCAGGGAGAATCCCATCTAGTACACAACTCCAGTCCTTTGAAACATCAAGATACGATGGAAATCCAGGACTATGTGGACCTCCCATTAACAAGAAATGTCATGGAGATGAAGAACTTGAAGAACCACCTGTTGTTGTTGGTAGAAATGAGGGAGATGAGGAAGGTGTTGATGAAGTTTGGGGATAGTTCTATATTGGTGTAGGGACTGGTTTTGCTACTGGATTTTGGATAGCATGTGGTGTCTTACTTCTCAACCATCAAGGGAGACATGCTTTTTCTATGTTCTTTGATGGCTTCAAAGATTGGGTTTATGTGAAGGTGTTGGTATTTGCTGCAAATTTGCAGAAGGTTAGACAGACAGTTTCTCATTTTGTTTTCTAGTATGTAAATATGTTGTTTTGAACACGCCTATTACTGTTCTTATTTAGGGCTAGAGACTTAGGAATGTAATTTGGCATGGGCATGTAAGTCCCCAATATTAATAAGATTGCCACAAACACTATGGGTGGCCATTTTATCGCGCTGTGTAAAATAACATCCTGAAAAGTTCATATCTTTGAACCATATAAACACAAGATCTTATATTTTTTTTAAAAGACTATTTCTAGGATAATTTTCAGTGTAGAGTATTTGAAGAATTAGTGTTTAAAAGACATTACATCCATATATACTTGTTACTATGATGCTTATGTTCGTAGGTTGTTTTTTAAATTAACAAAAAAAATGAAAAATAGCAAGATGGAAAAACTGGTTTGACAGGAAGAGGGCTGAGATAAGGGAGTTGGAGGCAGAATTAACCAATGTTCAGTGCAACAACCAATTCAAGGGGATAGTTAATTAAAGAGCAATACAAAATGATGGAAACTCAAGAACACATTTACTGGTTGCAAGGTCGCTAAGTAGATTATTTGCAGAATTTCCAGTTCTTTCAATCTGTTTCCTGTGTTCTTGGGGTTCTGATGTCTGTTTTTAATAAAAAAGAAGTCACTTTAATCTATGTTATAAAATTTAGTATATGTTACTGACAAAGCTAGGAAGGGTCTGAAAAATTTATTTCCTACATTTTAGCATGGAAAGAGTTTTAATTCATTCAAGTTTAAGCACCTTCATGATTGGTACAGTTGTGCAAAATTTCCATCATCCTAGACTCCATTTTCGATTTTCCCAAACTAATATACTAGGACGGCTTATATAACTTGAAACAAATTCAGTGCTTGAGGTACCAAACTAATATACTAGGAAGGCTACTATACCTTGAAACAAATTCAAAATATAATAGGAGTGTTCGGCAAAACTAGCTGGTAGCAGGTAGCTTGTAGCATTTTGTTAAACGTTACCTGCAATAGCATTTAGATTTGCAACATTTTTTTTAACTAAATGCTAGAAGCTTGTACTGCCAAATGGGCTTTCTGTCCAAAATGGAGCGTGTTGTCAAACATGCCTAATGTATATATTTTTTCTGTAAAGTGTGATTTGCAAATAATGTGCTTTCGTACTGTATCAAAAAACCCTTAAGGCGTGCATTTAGCATCTGAGTTATACATCCTAGATAGAAAGATTTGCATCAAAAGAATTGTGAATAGAAGTTGTATCATGTATCACAAAAAACATATTTAAAAACTCCATTATGTTCATGTGAAATTTTTAGAGACTAAACAAAACATATAACAACTGAGAGAAATGAGCCTTTCCCTTCTTACATATTTCAAACTTCAACCATAAGTGATAACGGAATGAATGCTACCCATATTAGACCAACACGTTTAGCCTATTTCATTGCTCGGTTCCATGTGCATAAATCTTTACATTATCAATAAATGAGACCATAAATCATCCTTATGACCTACACCATTGCATCTTTTACATTCAACCGATTGAGTTTCATCTTCCCATCACTACAAAAAACACATTTTTTGCATGTTGTTTGACAACCAAAATACAAAATGCGGAAGCTTAAAATTTAGATCTTTGATCTCGAATCTGCTAAAAGAAAATTTTTAACAAGAAGGAACATCAGATACCTGCTTCCATGGAGATTTTCGGATCTGAAAAGTGGAATGACTTTTCCAAATGATCGCAAGAACTCTCTAGAATCCTTCAGCAAAAACTAAACGAATTTACATGTCTATTTTGCGTATTTTCATCTGCTCCTCATCACATGTATATATATAGATGAAGATATACCCAATGTGAGAGATGAAGGGGATATTGAGGATCTTGAGTCAAACCGGAAACTCAATCCACAAAAGCTAAATGGATATTCTATAAATCCGTCCATTAACAATTTATAGTTTTACCATAATAACTGAATTTAATGATAACATTATATATTTATGAAGTGACCCCATAATTATCTAACAATCTCTTATTGGACCACTGATATTTAAATGTACATATAGATATATAAGCACTTTAATAAATGTTATCATAATATTGATACCCTTGAACAATCTCGTCCACTAATCATACAAGTATTGGATCAAAGTGGTATTTATTACAATTCACGTAATGAAACCCATCAATGGTCACATATACATATATAACTAACGACATAGATTCAACTTGATGTGTGGTTTTAAATCAAAATAGATTTCCAACGAGTTCCTCGTTATCTTGAAGCGAGATCAAACTTCAAATAAGTGCAATTCATAATGGAATTAACCAAATTCTTCATTTTGTACAAAAAACATAATTGTTCTTAAACAAAACATAAAGAACCATAAAACTCCCACTAAAACCAAATATCATACCAACACATGTAGTATGCTCATGAAAGATCTATGGAGGTAATCCCGTTATGAGTAGATCATTTATCATGGAGTCTATTCACATATATATATATATATATATATATATATATATATATATATATATATATATTCCATTTTGCACTATTATGTTAATAGAAGGAACTATATGTTAATATGCTTCGGCTTAATAGAACTTATGTTGCTGGAACATAACATTGCTGGCTTATCATATCAATAATATGTAGCATCGTGACAAATTTCCGCAACCATATTCCATGATTTGATGCCGCATAACATGCTATAATTTATGTTGCCATTATGGAAGAAACTACTGAAGTCTATTCCATGAAACGACTCATCATGCTAACGTATAAAAGTATGCCGATATGGATCAGTTACCATTTTAGCATCTAATAAAATCAGATTCTTAATAAAAAGGGAAAGTAACGTAAATTCCCTACAAACTTCCTAGGGTTTACCCATTCGGTTCCTAAAGTTTTTGTCTGGCTTTATGGGTCCCTAACTAGGATATGACCTGCTCTTTTAGTCTCTATCAACCTGTAATAGCTGGTTCAGTGATATTTTTGACCAAAAAAACTCACATTGTGCCCTTATAAAGCCAAAAAAATAAGTTCGGGGATCAATCCGTAACAAATAATGATTTAGCTACGACATGTACACACGATCTTCATAAATCTTCCCATTGCTAATTTGTTCTCTTAATCTTTCGAGAAAATATAAAAAAGGTTTTCGATTTATTTTGTGTTACCAAATTTTGATATGGAGGATATAAGGAAGAAATAAATGCTCTGAAAGAACCAATAGCAAAGAACCAATAGTAAATGACTTCGAGCTAATTGAAGCGAATCAACAAATTCTTGGGAGTGCATTTATTGCAGAAATTTTATCGTTATCTTCAAACTTGTAAACATTCATAAATAAAGTTAAACACAAGTGAAAGAGATTTGAATTAGAAATTCATATGATGTGTCAATTATTGATTATTTAGAATTAAAAATCGCAATGATAGTAAAAAACTCAATCAAATTAGGATATGACTTCATCCTAAGTTTCTTAATCAGTTGATCTCTATTAATACCTTCGATCTCCAATTGTGCCATTTCTCGATTATTTAGAAGAGCCAAAATTAATCATGGTCTTTTTATATTAGAGGGGCAGTCGACACAACTTAATGTTACACTACCAATAGATATTGGAAAATAGAAATAGATGGAATAGAGCCAAATGAACTTTTTTTAGTTATAAAATACAAATTAATCTCAACATATTTTTTTTGGCTTTATAGGGACACAATGTGAGTTTATTTGGTCTAAAAGTTCACTGAACTAGCTATTACAGGTTGATAGAGACTAAAAAGGCAGGTTATATCCTAGTTTAGGGACCTATAAAGCCTGACAAAAACATTAGGGACTAAATGGGTAAACCCTAGAAAGTTTGTAGGGCATTTATGTCATTTTTCCTAATAAAAATGATCTCCAAAACATCTTATTTCCTATAGTTAAACATATAGTCTTTTCTTATGTATAGATATTTCAAAACACATTTGGATGCTTCTCTATAATCTAGATCAATTACTGGGTTGCCTAGATATCTTCCCAACATCCATATAATGTAGGGATATATACATACTTGAGCATACATCAGATTCCCAACATAGTAAACGCAAGGAATCTTCTACATCTCTCTAACTTCAAGGTGAAATTTAGGTCACTAATAAAGACTAAATCTATCTCTTTTAGCAATAAGGGTGTCACCTGGTTTGTAGTTTGCATGAAAAATCTTTTAAGGATCTTATCAATATTATACCACTTATGTGATAATCCTTGAATTCCACAATATTTGTCTCGTTAAATATGCATTCCTAATACAAAACATGCTTCCCTAAGACCCTTCATTAAAAATACTTTAATATATTGATGGCAAGCAATATGTCATCAACATACAAAACCAAGAAAGATACATTTACTACCACTAAATTTGTGATAGACATAATCATCTACTTGATTTACCTTAAAACTTAATGAGATAATGAATTGATGAAACTTTTGGTACCACAGATGGGGTACCCTAAGTTGAGGTTGTTGATTTTGTTCATTCTGAATATGCATCAGTACTGAAAAAAACACTAAGATTTTAGTAACATAAATACATAATGAATCCTTGTGTTTTTATAATTTTCCCAATTCTCTTGCTACACCTTGAGACTACAACTTCCAACCAATTTGGGAGGAGGAGATGATAATGGTGTTATAAACAAGTGTTCCAATAAGGATAGACACACTCTCCTTGATTTCAAGGTTGCCTTCATGATCCCTATGAAACTCTCTCTATATATTGAGAGATGAAGAATAAGATTATTGTAAATGGAGAGGAGTCACATGTAACAACCAAACAAATCGTGTCATGAAGCTTGAT